CACAAGACAGTCCCCCAATTCCCCCCCAGTCCCCTTCTCGGGGAGCAGCCAGTCTCCCCCCCCCTCCCCCTTCTCGGGGAGCAGCCAGTGCCCCCTTGTTCTCCTCGCCCTGTCATAGGGGAGTCGGAGGGTAGAGACCAGCCTGGCCCAGCTGCTCCTGGGGAGCCTGAGTCCCATTCAGCCTAGCAAAGGAGGTCTTTGCCCTGCCCCCCGCCGGGAGTTGGGTTTCCATGTGGGAGGAGGAGGCAGGCAGATGTGGCTGTCTGTCTGTGCCAGAGGCACCGAGTTGTTCACTTTTCCCCAGGGCCTGTTCACCCTCTTTCTCACTTATCCTCTCCAGGTAAGGGATGGGGTCCCCCACACTAGCCAGGTGCACTCAGCACGTCTTTGTAGCTCAGATCTGTTTCTGCTTAGTTCCTAAAATGGTATTGGGGGTGAGTGTCTGCTGTTCTGTGCATTCAAGAGCAAGCGATCAGTTCTAGATCAGTTACCAAGTACAAAGACAACTTTATCTAGGCCCAGAGAGTTAACATGACTTTCTTCTCATTATTGTCAATTGCAAGCAGTATTGTCAGACTTAAATGTATAAAAAAATCCAAGTCAGATATCTAAAAATTGAGTTTAAAAACAAACTCCTCTCCAAAAAACAAGCTTTAAAAAACTGCCCTCTTTTTGAGCCTATTCGGTACACTCAGGCCTTTCTCTGTAACCACTGGGCTTACAGTTGTTTTTTTATTTTGAATAATGAGATTTTCTTATCAGTTATTTCCACTAACGAGGGCTTTAATTAATAGGCATCAAGTTTAAAACTAATATAAGGAAGTACTTCACACAGTGCACAAACCACCTGTGGACCTCCTTCCCTAGGAATATTGTAAAGGCCAAAAGTATAACGGGGTTCAGACAAGAAATCGGTACGTTCATGGTCCATCAATGGCTTTTGCCTAGATGGTCAGCGATACAACCCCATGTCTTGGGTGTCTCTAACCTTTGATTGCCAGATCCTAGGACTGGAAAATGGGAAGGATCACTTGATAATTGTAATGTTGTTTTCATTCTCTTTGAAGCATCTGGCACTGGTGACAGGATACTGAGCTAGATGGACCATTGATCTGATCCAGTACGACCATTCTTATATTTCATTTAAAACATCAAATAAAATATCATGAGAACTGGCCAAGTTAAGAACGCAGCAAGACATATGTAATAACATTATTTTCAGACTACTGGTTTAGTGAAATCTCTACAATTGTGTTAGTTTGATTGGCACCCTTTTAATTTATACTCATGTATCAATTGTGTTAATGTAAAAGGAATAGACTCCAAATTGCCACTCCAATGTGCTATCCTTACAACACTGATAATGAGAGTAAAATGTAGCAATGAAAATGGCTGTCTCTCAGCAAGATGGTACAACCCACTATCAGTAAGTAGATCAGTGATAGAGATGTAGCCGTGTTAGTCTGGGGTAGCTGAAGCAAAATGCAGGACAATGTAGCACTTTAAAGACTAACAAGATTGTTTATTAGATGATGAGCTTTCGTGGGCCAGACCCACTTCCTCAGATCAAATAGTGGAAGAAAGTAGTCACAACCATATATACCAAAGGATACAATTAAAATTTTTTTTTATTTTTTTTTAATTGTATCCTTTGGTATATATGGTTGTGACTACTTTCTTCCACTATTTGATCTGAGGAAGTGGGTCTGGCCCACGAAAGCTCATCATCTAATAAACCATCTAAGTAGATCAGTAAGTAGAAATGTTTGAACATACTGAGGAGGCAATTCTTTAATAGGAAGGTGCCATTTTTATTCACTTTAAAATACCGTAACAAGGTTTTGCAGAACAAGTGATCAAAAGAAAGGCTGAAATACAGTTATTCTGTCTTCTGCTTCTCTGTCTTTGGGAAAGACATCCAAAGGGCTGAAAAGTATAAATTCCAGCTTAAGGGGACATATCTGCTTGAAATGTAACTGAGCTAGCCTCCTAAAAATAAGAGTATAGCAGCAGTGAGGGAGAAGCTAGCCACTATCTATCGAGATGCTACGTAGGGATGTAAAAGCCCATTTAAAATATTAATCAGTTAAACTACCTGGTTAATCAGCCTGCCATCTTGAGCTGCTGGAGCAGCCCCCTGCCTGCAGCACAGTGTGGTGGGCCGGGATGGGCTGGAGAAGCCCTTGCCCACAGCACAGATGGGATCTGCTCTGGGTGGCTGGGTGCTGGTCACCCTGGTAAGCATGCTGGTAAGATAATACTTACTCGGTAACTGGCTAACTGATTACTCCTTGACATTCCTAATGTGTTCCTAAGTATGTACTTGGGGCAGCTAGTCTTCCTGCTGCCACAGCTATACTCTAGCACAATAGCTTAGTCTGAATTAGGGTTATGTCTCAAAGGGAAGAGTACTGACTAAGACCCCGGTTCTGCAAGCGCATATGCTTAATTTTACCCTGCTAAGCATAGAAGTGCCAAACCTAAAGTCATTGGGGAGCCATGCCAGTGCAAGTTTCAGCACATGTGGAGTCAGCTGCAAGATAAGGTCCTTTGTAATTAGCATCACAGTGCTTGACATAGTGAGGAAAAACAATGACTGATATTCTTTGGTGATCAAACTTACTAAAATGTACAAATAATTGTACTTCACAAAAGGAATGCAAAATATAGACTTGGAGTATATTTGGAGAGTTTTTTCATTGCCCCCTGCATATGTACAAGTGCATACAGACACAGTAAGGCTAGAAGGGATAATCTGGTCATTTAGTCTGACCTCACCATAGGCTGCCCCCATCTTCAACCAGCTAAACCCAACAACTGAAATTAAGACTAAAATATTACAGACCTCGTGAAACCAAATACAGGACTATGTAGCACTTTAAAGGACTAACAAGATGGTTTATTAGGTGATGAGCTATCGTGGGCCAGACCCACTTCCTCAGATCTGAGGAAGTGGGTCTGGCCCACGATAGCTCATCACCTAATAAACCATCTTGTTAGTCCTTTAAAGTGCTACATAGTCCTGTATTTTGTTTCAGCTACACCAGACTAACATGGCTACATTTCTATCATTCTTGAAACCAGATACTGTGAGCCATAGACAGAGACTAGAAGGGACCACAGTGCACCAATGCCTAAAACCCTCACAATGGCAGGGAAATGAGTGAGAGACACCCAGCTAATCCTGCATGTACCCCTTAAACATACAGTACAGAGGAAGGGGAAACACAAGCAGGATCACTGCCAATTTGACCTCAGAGAAAATTCCTTCCTGACCTCACATATGGCAATCAATTAGACTTGGAGCATGTTAGCAGGAACCAGCCAGGCAAGCCTATTGCGAGGGAGAATGTTTGGTGCTATCTCAGAGTTCTGGCTCACCTCATCCAGTGTCATATCTCTAGCTATGGCCACAGCTGATGCTTCCAAGGAATGCAGTAAAAACACACACAGTAGAATATACTGGTATGTGTGCAGGGAATCCCTTCCTGTCTCCTGCAGGTGATCGACCTGGCTTCAAAGGGACCCTATTAATTGATCTTTTAACAAAAAAGAATGTGTTGAAAAACAAATTACACAAACTTCAGCAAATTGTTACCATGGAGTTAGAAAAAATCCAATGAAAACAGATATATAAACAAAATAAACATTTCTCTCTGCTCCAAACATTGACCATGTGAAAATAAAGCTGTTTATAAAGAAAAATGAAACTGACTTGATTGATTGCAATTGTCTTAACTGAAAGAAATTCAGAAAGTAAACAAAATAGGATTTTAAACTGTCTTTGTCTAGTAACATGATCGTGCAATCAAGTCTGCACTTATGAACTGGGGCAGTATATGTAAATTTTAATTGGTTTGTATTTGGGTTAGCTAGCAACATCAGACTATGCAAATTAATTACAGAAACATGTTCAGTATATTCTTATTTAATCTCTACTTAAATCTTTTCAGAATATTTCTTGAACAGGTAAACAGTAAAAAATCTCGTGCCTCCAATATCAACTGTGTAGTGAAAACAGATGTAAGACATGATGGGACCGAACCAGTTGTAGACATCATGTTTGGTAAGGAGTTTATCATTAATTTTAAAAGAAACATTGCCTTACTAGACTCATACTAGAAGATATCTGTGGTTGTTTCCTGTAATTTGTATTGTTGTAGTACCTTCATAGCTCAGTTATGGATCAGAACCACATTGTACTAGGTGTAGTACAAACATGTTTTTGAGCTAAAGCAGAATGGAATCACAGTTAGGTTAATGTGTTGGGAAGGAAATCATAAACATTTCTACGGGATTCAGAACTGTTTTAAAAAAAGGGTGGACTTCATAAAAAACATGACTCTCATCCTGAAATGAGAGATCTCAAGTGAACCCTTGAACCTATGCAGAGGTCTGTTGAAGTCAGTGTGGCTTCATACTGCTACAGAGACTGCTCTACCTCTTTGCATTTCACTTGCAATATTGGTCTGTCAGACTTCTCAGGTTTTGAGAACTTAAGGTCTGATCCTGCAGCTACTTATGTAATTGAATAACTTGATCATGTTAGCTGTCTTACTTAGTTTGGGGGGGAACTATTCACATTTATAAATGTTTGCAGAAATGGGTCTACGAGATGCAGCTAGCTCTGTGGGATCTTCTAACGTATACAGGCAGTCCCCGGGTTACGTACAAGATAGGGACTGTAGGTTTGTTCTTAAGTTGAATCTGTATGTAAGTCGGAATTGGCGTCAGCCGCTGCTGAAACTGATCAGTTTCAACCGCGGCTGAATCTGGACGCCAGTTCTGACTTACATACAGATTC